TCTAGTTTCTTTAACCATTACGCTATGGGGCTGCCCTGGAGAGATTATCTTAGTGCCATAATCTACCAGCCTCCAATAACTATGCATTGGGATACATGCCACCATGTTCCAGTTTTTAATCTATTAATACAGGGTCCCCAACCCCTGGAACTGATCTGTGGCCTGTTACGTAGAAGGTGAATAGGGGATAAGCAGTCAAAGTCTCATCTGTATTTACAGCCACTCCCCATCACTCACATTACTGCCTGAGCTCCACCTCCTATCAGATCAGCAGTGGTAGTAGATTCTCATAACCCTTAGATGGGACTGTCTAGTTGCAGGAAAATAAGCTCAATAATCTTACTGATTCTACTTACTGGTGACTTGTATAATTATTTCATTATAACTTACAGTCTAATAATAATAGAAGTAAAGCATATGATAAATATAATGTGCTCAAGTCATCCCAGACCATCTCCTTCCTACCCTCGCTGGTTCATGATAAAGTTGTCTTCCATGAAACCAGTCCTTGGGGTGAAAAAGGTTGGGAGCAACTGCACTAATAGATGCTTCCCTTCTGAATTATAGTGCCAGCCTTTTTGAACATTCACTCCTCTTCCCTGACCCCTCAATTAGATACTAAGCTTCATCAAAGCCAGGGTAATTCCTCATAATGCCTTTCATATAGTCAGCACTATATTATATATATTGTATACACACACAAACACACACAACTGTGTGAGAGGACACTTTAGAAAGTTCATGGGGGGACCAGCAGTTAGCATAATGGCTATGTTGCTGGACTCCCATGTAGTTGACTGCTGGTTTGTGTCCCAGACCCGGTGGCTTAAAACTCACGCTGGGCGCGTGTGCATGCGTGCCCAAAATCCCGAGAGGAGAGTGGAGGAGGAGGGATTGTGGTGTGGCCATCCCCCCTGGGGGGTGATTTCTCGCTTTCTATCTCTCTGTCTCTCTTGTCTGTCTGGCGAGTGTACGCGCCCTATAGTGGAAACCCCCCCACACACAAAAAAAGGAAAGTTCATGGGAAAAATTTTATTAAAGTATGAGTGTGTTTTGGTGCAGAAAAAGTTTTGAAATCCATATATGATTTTATTTTATAAAAATACACATTTTTCTGTGAACTTTTTAAAGATCCTTAGTATATCTGAAAATGGAATGTGGCTAATATTGCTACTTTATCAAAGAGAATTTTACAGTAATTGACAACCATGTGATGCTTTTCTTAAATTGGTGGGCAGTAGGTGTTGATGTGAAGACAAGGAGAGACATTAGTCTGAGCTATTAAAATCTGACACGTATGTACACCCCCAAGTGTATTTGGCCACCCCAGAGCACCCTGATACAGTAATTCCAAACTGTGCTGTGGTGTTACTGCCATCTGGTGTCAGGATTAGAAAACTGTAGTTTGGCATTTACATCTGTTATTTTCTAGGTTTTTTGAGAGAGCAATTTTTGCTACAGGGTGCATGTGCTCACCATAGAGATAGAGACAGACAGACAGAAAGCAAGAAATAACCCTCTAGGGGGGATAGTCATGCCACAATCCCTTCTCCTCTTGGGATCTTGGGCATGCATGCACATGCACACATCCAGCCTGAGTTTTAAGCCCCTGAGTCTAGGACTCGAACCGTGGTCAACTACATGGAAGTCCAGTGACGTAAACGTTATGCCATCTGTCGGTCCCCATTTCTGTACTTTCAATGGAAAAAGGTTAGGAAACCTTTCATCTGAATTATGGGCCTGCTCTTCTCTTTTCCATCCTTGAAGTAAGTTATCAAAAAAGGTCATTTATTTCAATCCAGTAAACATTTTTCTTCCTTCTTGGAATACTCTTAGCTTGGCATTTTTGATAACATGCTCTTGTTTTTTTCCTCATATTTCTCAGGTGGTTCTCTCATTCCCTTTTTTAAAAGAATAATTTTATTTATTACTATTTTTTTAATTTGCTGTAGGACATGTGTGCTCACCAGAGAAAGACAGAGAGAGGGCAAGAAAAAAAAAACAAAGCCACTAGGTCTGGGACTCAAACTGTGGTTGGCCGTGGGAGTCCAGCCCCTTAACCACTACACCACCTGCTCACCCCCTTTCACTCTTTATTGACAGCATTTTTTTTTTTTTATTGTAGGTTTTTGCCATACATTTTGGCTCCTCTACTTTTTTTAGTCTTTGTTGTCATTCTTATCCTTGGTTAAATACCACTTATTAATGGACAAATTTATATTGTTAGCCAAAAGGCTCCTCTGAGCATGAGACCAAGTTCTCTAGTTGCTTACCTAGATTACACGGGCATCTCAACCGACACATATGTCTTTCTGCCTAAATGTGGATCTCTCACCGTCACCCTCATTTCTCATTTCATTCGTCTATTATGCAGAAGTCTGGGATTCAGGTTGGCATTGTCTGTCGTTCACACTCATTTGTCAAATATTTACCCTACCTCATTAAGATGAGTAGATACCTTCTTGTGCATGTAAAATTTGGGACCCTGCTCTCTTCCCATCTGAGCTACACTGACACTCATCTGGATGAGGTAGGCTCGAGTTGGTTTTTCTCTGTCTGTTCTTGGCTGCACTCACATGTATTACATGTATGTTTCCTTGGCTAGCCTGGAAATTCTGTGATGGCAGAGACTGTGTACGCTGGCCTGAGGAAAAGATAAAGGAAGAAAGCATTCCCCCAGTGAAGTGCGGTCATGCTGCACTCCCTTCTCCATTTCTCCTTTTTGTCGGGATTTTGCACAAACATGAACCTGGCATGTTTTTCAAGCTGCTGGGGCCAGGATTTCAACTATGCTTGGCTATGCAGGATCTGGCTCCCTCAGCCCTTAAGCTACAAGACTGACACTGTATTTATTTATTTTTATTGGCCTTCTTTAATGCTTATTTCGGTATTGGTGTTCTGTACCAGTTCATTTATCATAAATAAATTTTAGCTATTTTCTATCTTCAGGAAACCTAATTGTGTCTGTAAGGGTGATCTATTTGTGGTATCATGCATTAACAAGTGTTCAGATGAACTTTAGGAAAACCCATTTACATACTGGGGACTGCCAAATCAATATGCTGAAATTATTTTTCAAGCATTTAAAGTTCCATGCCATTTCTGAGTGGACATTTTTTTTTAAGAGAGGTTTTTTTTGTTTTGTTTTTGTTTTTGTTTTTTTTTGAGAAGTTTTTGCTATAGGGCACGTGTGCTTGCCAGAAAGACAGAGAGAGACAGACACAAAGCGAGAAATCACCCCCCAGGAGGATGGCCATGCCCTAATTCCTTCTCCATGCTCCTCTTGGGATTTTGGGCATGAATGCACACGCGCCCGGCATGAGTTTAAACCACCAGGTCCAGGACACAAACCACGATCGACTACATGGGAGTCCAGCGACATATAGCTATTGCATCAACTGCTGGTCCCTAAGAGAGATTTTTGCTGTAGGGCGCATGTGCTCACCAGAGAGACAGAGACACAGAGACGAAAAACAAGAAATCATCTGCCAGGGGATGGCCACGTCGCAGTCTCTTTTCCTCCATTCTCCTCTTGAGATTTTGGACACATACGCACACGCACTCAGTATGAGTTTTAAGCCACTGGGTCCAGGACTCAAACTGCAGCCAACTCAGAGAGAGTCCAGTGACATAATCATTATGCCATCTACTGGACCCTCTGCATATTCTTTTAACAGCAGTTCATATCTTACTGGTTTTATTTAGTCCTTTTGGTTTTCTTTGACATTTTAAAGATGCTTTTGCTTTATAAAGTTTTACTAGTAGAGCTTACTTGGTACTTTGAGTTGATGATATTGTTCAGTAAAGAAATTTAATATATGGGACCAGTAGATGGCATAATGGTTACGTCACTGGACTCCCACATGACCAACTGTGGTTTGAGTCTTGGACTCGGGGACTTGAAAGTCACACTGGGCATGTATGCATGTGTGTCTAAAATCTTGAGGAGAAGGGCTTACAACATGGTCGTTGGAGGATAATTTCTCACTTTCTATCTCTGTCTCTCTCTGGTTAGCATATACACTGTATAGCAAAAATCTCTCTAAAAAACAGAAACTTAATTTATAAAAAGTTAGTATTTAGAGATGGGCAACAATCTGCATATTGATATAAACTTGAGACCATGGTTTTAGTAGGTGTATACTAGGATATCTCAACTTTGGCATTATTAATATTTGGACTTGATAGGTTTTGCTTGTGCATGTGTGCATGTAGGATGTTCTAAGCACTGTAAGATTTTGGCAGTGTTCCTGGCCTCTACCAGTTAGTAGTACACATCAACCCACCAACCTTCTCCCATACAATAATCAAAAGTGCCTCTAAGCTTTGCCAAATTGTCCTCCAGGTGTCATGTTGAACAGTGGTTGCAAACCAGTAATACAGGGACCGGCAGGTAGTGTGGTGTTCAGGAACGCTGGATTCCTACATGACAGACCGCAGTTCAAGTCCCAGATCTGCGACTTGCTTTCTCCCTTTTCCTTTCTCTCTCTGTAACTCTCTGGTAAAAAAAAAAAAAAGAAAAAAAAAGAAAAGAAAAGAAAAAAGAATTAAATAAATAATTATTTTTTAAAAAAAGAAAGAAAACTAGTAATACATGCTTTACTACTTAGAAGAGGATAATAGACTGTATAATATCTCACTTGGGAAATCTTTGTCATCCTAGGTATCTTTGAGAGTATGGTAGCTATGTGGTGTATTGTTAGTGGCAAAGAGAGAGAAAAACTGCACTGTCTTTCATATTTTAGAATTTGTGCTTGACTTGGAATAAAGTAACTTCTGAACTTGTTTCCTCGCCATACTGGATGGTGCATTTCTTGATCATATTTCACTGGTAGTTTGATTTTGTTAACTGACTTCATCAGTTAGATGGTGGTAGCCAAAAGGAACCAAGATTATGACATAAAGGTTAGCTTATAAATTCAGAGCTTTTGCCTTTACATGTATTTATATTAATATAATGTGCAGAGTATAATTAAGCTATTTTATTTTTTTCTTCAAAGGGACATGAGAGATGGCTTTAGAAGAAAAAGTTTCTACTCTTCCCATTATGTGAGAGACCGGTCTCCTCATAAAAGGGACACTCCTTTTTTCAGAGAATCATCTGTTGGCCGAAAGGACTCTCCACACAGCAGATCTGGCTCCAGTGTCAGTAGCAGAAGCTACTCTCCTGAAAGAAACAAAACGTACTCTTTCCATCAACCACAACATAGAAGTACGTATTTTTAAGAATTTTCCCTTTTCTTTCACAGCCTTCACTAATTAGGATGTACTGAATCAGATGTCGTAAGCGATACTTTCCTTAACTTCTTCATTTAAAAAACTTGAAACTTTTGGGAAAGTTAGAAAAATAATGTAAATGAACATTACACACACACATTTTTCAAACTATTTAAAATTGCAGTCTGCATGATGTTTCATTTTTATAATTCTTCAACATATAAAAGAGGTCTTTGTAATTATGTCTGGAAGTCATTCATTCCCATAATTTTTTGGTAATTCTTATACAAATTCAACCTCTTTAATCAGCTATTAGTAAGTGTTATATATATGTGATTGTCTATTTTCTATGAAAATTTCAGTGATCTCCCCTAAATTTATGGTATAGCCTTACAGAATTTAGAACTAAAGCCTACCTTCTTTTTTTTTTTTTCTTTTTTTAGAGAGATTTTTGCTATAGGGCTCATGTGCTCGCCGGAAAGACAGAAAACAAAAAAATCACCCCCCAGGGGTGATGGCCACACCGCAATCCCTTCTTCTCTATTGTCCTCTTGGGATCTTGGGCATGCACACACATGTACCCAGCATGAGTGTAAACCTCCAGGTCCAGGATTCAAACCATGGTAAACTATGTAGGAGCCCAACAACGTAACCATTACACCATCTGCTAGTCCCTAGAACTAAAGCCTACTTTAAGTTCATTTTTTTCTCCAGGTTCCATTTTTTTTCTATCTTTTTATATTTGGAGTAACTTGATATACGTGGCAATCAAAGCACACCATTCTGGCTGAGTCACTTAGTATGTATTGGAATAAATGAATGAAGCAACCACTGTTTGAAATAAAACATCTTTATATTATCTTTGTAGACTCTACAGCCTTCAGTAGAATTCATTCACAAAACATTTTCTCATGCCCTCTGTGAATGAGGCACTGTGTTACATGGAAAGATGTTCCTGTCAGGAACTAGAATGTGTGCGCGCACGCACGTGTGTACATATTTTCCACCAGCTAGTAACAGCTTTGTCGTAGGTTGATATATATGAATTGTAACTGACACAAGAATTGATGTATCATAAATGAATTAACATCACATAAGGAAGTTAAGGTAAAAAGGATTAGTTCTCACTTTGGACATGGAAGAACACAGAGGAAATGACATTGGGGCTCATCCCTAATTCAGACTTCTGTAAGTGAAGAAGTGTCTTTAGAAGGAATTACAAATCAAGATAAGAAATCAGAAAAGACAGAATATTACTTTCTTGCTTTTTTATTTTTTTTTAAGCTTGCTTCCCTTTAGATGTCTTTTTAAAATAATATGAATTTTAATTTAACAGCCTTTGCCTCTTGCATGGTGAGAGTGATGGAAGACTGCCTGGAGTCATCAGATTGTCTTCCCTCATAACTATTGTTAGATTCTTGTATTTAGCAAACATCCATCAATTTGCCATGCTATGTAGAGTGGAGATTCCCAGAAAATATGTATTTTTATACACACACACACACACACACACACACTCCTGAATGATCATGTGGGAGAGATAACATACTGCTTGAAGGATTTAAAACTAACATAGTCTTGTAATAGCCTTGTAGCCTGATTGTTTAAGAGATGACTGGGACAACTCTACATAGCTGAAACTTTTATTGTATAGTTTATTATACAGGTGTTTTCTCCTTTGTTATATGTCGTGCATTCCCACAACCAAAAAAACCCTTCAGTAATATAAACAGCCTCTAAGTTCCCTAAGCTCTATTTAATGCTCATATACACAGACGTAGCCAATATTAGACATCTTCTAAGAACTTTGGGGGGGAAAAAACTTTTTTGAGGGGATATGTATAAGTTAAATCTAAATTTAATGATGTTTTGATTACAAAAAAAGTATCTTCAGAAACTGGTTATAAAGACTTTTTAATAAAACATCAAAACTTGAGTAAAGTCAAAGCTTGAGATTCTTTCTAGACAGTTTGTAGTGAAGCTATGCAAGATAGTCATTGGTGATTCAGCCTTGTTTTTTCATTTCTCTTCTAAACAAGATGCTTCTGGGAGAGCATCTTCTCTGTTTATCTCCTTTGGGCCTCTTAGTCATTGACCAAAACTCTGAAATCTTGAGATGAAATATGGATAAACCACAATATCATTTTCCTGTCTTAAGGTCTATAATATGCTTTCCCCATCCTTTGTGATGTAATAATATCTGTAGTGATGAAAGGATAAAAGAAAGTTGGGAGGCTAAAATATGTGGTAAATTGAATGAAAAAGCACATGAATTTTTAATCTCTTCATGCTCATTTTCTTTAGACATTTATCTTTGTAGGGAGATTTCTGCAATAGGGCTCTTGTGCTAGCTAGAGTGACAGAGACAGGAAGCAAGAAATCACCCCCTTAGGGGGTGGTAGCTATGCCGCAAAATCCCTTCTCCTCCATTCTCCTCCTGGGATTTTGGGTACACGTGCATGCGCACCTGGCATGAGTTTTAAGCCTCTGGGTCTGGGACTTGAACCACGGTCAAGTACATGGGAGTACAACAACTTAACTATTATGCCATCTGCTGGTCCCTAGACATTTATCTTTGGCAGTAAAGTGTTTTGTTTTTTTTTTTTTAATTATTTATTTAACTTTATTTATTTATTTATTCATTTATTTTTAATTTGACCAGAGAGAGAGAGAGAGAGAGAAGGTGAGAAAGCAAGCCACCAGGTCTGGGACTCGAACCATGGTTGATCATGTGAGAATGAATGTCCAGCACCTTAAACACCACACCACTCACTGGTCCCCGACAGCAAAGTTCTTTAACCAAGAAAAAAATAAGGTCTTGGGAAAATTTATTTTATAAGTTATTTTGGTTGATTCCTGAACTGCTTGGCCTATACTGTAAGGTATTATATTCTGTTCATATCTTCTGAATTGTTACATGGATCATCTTATAAAAAGTTAATGGAGGGACCAGCAGTTAGCGTAATGGCCATGTTGCTGGTCTCCCATGTAGTCGACCACAGTTTGATTCCCGGACCCAGTGGCTTAAACTCATGCCGGGCATGTGTGCGTGCGTGCCCAAGATCCCGAGAGAATGGAGGAGAAGGGATTGTGGCATGGCCATCCCTCCCGGGGAGTGATTTCTCACTTTCTGTCTCTCTGTCTCTATCTGGTGAGCACACATACCCTATAGCAAAATCCTCTTCAAAAAAAGAAGAAAAAGTTAATGGAGACATCTCATTTTAAATAATAAATTGAAAAGGCAATTATTTTACATGTTTATGATACCTGTTTTTCTTTAAATCTAAACATCACAATTTTTTTTAATGTCAGACATAATGTACTGACATCCTAAGATGGTTTGTAGGGAGGCACATCTCACACAATACAGCAATAATGTGAAAACCTAGTGCGGCGCATGCTTATGAACTACAGAAAGATCCGTGCATCACAAATATTGATGGCACTTTGCTTTTCTTCAAACTAGGACTAAGAAACAGGGTCCTTCAACTTAGCAGTCACTTACAATAGGTTAGTTAACAGTATGTTAAAGTTAATTTCTAATCCAAGTAATTGACAACAGTTTAAAATATTTTTATAAGTACAAATAACAGGTTAAAATCACATTTAAAAATTTCTGTGCCCTTTTTTCCCTTGATTCTATAACTTTTTAAATTTTTTGCCCTTTGTTCAGACTTTGAGTCTATTTACCTTTTGATAATCACAAGCCAGCTGGTGGCATGATGGTGGGGGCAGCTGGACCCCACATAGCTGATTGTGCAATTTGCGTCCTGGACTTGGTGACTTAAGAAACAGACCAGGTGCATGTGTGTATGTGCCCAAATCCTGAGAGGAGAATAGAGGAGAAAGGATTGTGGCCATCACTCTGAGGGGTGCTTTCTCTTTCTCTGATGAACGCAAATGGCCTATATGGCAAATTATAAAGAAAAAGAAAAATAAACACTAGTGATTTGGCTATGGTAACTGTCTAAGGAGTGATTTTTCATAGTTATAATGTATTTAATCTTTTACTTATTGTCTTAATTATATGCCACAGAATGATTTTATTACTTTTTTAAAAAGTTTGTTTCTCCCAACCCTACCGGGGTCTCCTCACTGCCAGCCCAGGTCACAGCAGACATGTGCACTTGGTATGCACAGGGAGGCCTCTGGACACAGAGGACTTTACTGGGACTTTACCATGTGTGTCCATTCTAGCACAGCATTGTGTTGCTACTATACCACCATGTAACTCCTTTAATTTACTGCTCTTTCAGCTCCACTACTTATTTCTCATTTTGTGTTTCCATAAACACACACACATTTCTTCTACTTAGCTTTTTGGGTCAATCTTGTGGAACTTTTTTTTCTTTTCTTTTTTTTTTTTTTTTTAAGATTTTTGCTATAAGCCACATATGTTGGCTGGATAGACAGAGACAGAGAGACAGAAAGTAAAAAATCACCCCCTAGGGGGTATGGCCTTGCCACAGTCCCTTCTCCTCCATTTCCGTCTTTGGATCTTGGGCACGCATCCACACGTGTCTGGCATGAGTTTAAGCCGCCAGGTCCAGGACTCGAACCAGTGTACTATGTAGGAGTCCAGCAACATAACCATTACACCATCTGCTAACCCCAATTTTGTGGACTTTGTCTTGCTTCATACTAATTCTTCTTCTAGGTCAAACTGTTGTTTTTTTGTTGTACTTATCTGAATCACTGAGTTGGGTTGTCCTAGACATAGCTTTGAATGCAATATTATTTTTAGTTTCTTTTTGTTGTCATATTCACGTGCTAACTGTGCAGGCGGTCCTTTCTTGTTTGTTATGATATTTTATAGTTAAAATTGTGTATGTTATATATACCTTGCATATTTTTACTTGAAGTGTATTTATTTATTAAAAATTGCTAGTGGGCAATTGCACTTATGGGTGGGGAGAGAGAGAATGAGAGCGAGAGAAAGTACAAAAACACCCCCATAGAGGATGATCACACCTCAACCCCTTCGTCATTCTCTTTTTGGGATTTCAGGCCAGACCTGTACTTTTTTCAGGCTATTGGGTCTGGGACTCAAACCGCACAGTAGGCCTTGTGGGATCCAGGTACCTTTACTATGACACCAGCTGACCCAGAAGTTTATTTTTGTTATAATTAATCTAGTCAATATGTCTATATTTTTCAGTTGTCTCTCCAGATTTTATTCTCCATTTTTAAAAATGGATCCCATTATTTTTCTTTTTCATCTCCTTTTTTTTTTTTTTTTTTTTTTTAAAATTACAATAATAAAATGATGTCAATGAATGAAATTAATTTTTTTTTTAGAAAAGGCACTTCCTGGGATGGCCATGCCGCAATCCCTTCTCCTCCATTCTCCTCTCGGGATCTTGGTTACGCAGGCACATGCACCTGGTGTGAGTTCAAGCCACCAGGTTTGGGAATCGAACCATGATCGACTACATGGAAGTCCAGCGACATAGCCATTACACTAACTGCTGGTACCTGATCCCATTGTTTTTCTGTCTTTTACTTTTGTCATTTACCTTTTGTTTAGGATAAAAACATTCAAAATGAGTTCAGATACTGTGGTTGTTAAGGTGCTAGACTCCCACATGGCCAACCGTAGTTCAAATCCTGGACTGGGTGACTTGCTTTCTCACTTTTCCCTTCTCGCTGTGTCTCTCTATGTCAAAATAATTAATAATAATAGAATTAAATCATTCTTTTTAAAAAATAAGTAATCAACTAGGTTCAGTCACCCACACCCATTGTTTGTTAATGTACATCACTATACCATAATCCAGGCCTTCCACCTTTGTACAGCTCAAAATCTCACAGGCTGGAGAAATGGAGGAGAAGAAATTGCAACATGATTATGCTCCACTTAGGGCCCTTCCCCCAATTTCTGACAAGCACATATGCCCTCTTACAATTAAAAATAAATGGATTGAGATTAGCAGGTGGTGTAGAAATTAAGGCCCTGGATTCCCACATGGTTAACCACAGTTCAAGTCCCAGACCTGGTGGCTTGCTTTCTTACTTTTCCTCCTCCCCCCAGTCAAATTAAAAAATAAATAAAGTAAGTTAAATATAAATAAATAAATGGGTGGACAAAGACATTTATATTAATGGGAAACAGGGATAGGAAAATAAAAGACTGGAGGCCTAGCCGTGGTGCTCCTTGTGATAGGGTAATGCTGTGTGAGGCTTGAGACATTTGGGAGACTCGGGTTTTGGTCCTAGACTAACCTAAACAGGTCAGGTGCAACAACATAGACCTAACTCAGGGTAGAGTGGATAGGGCAGGAGGATCACAACAGCAAGACTTTGTCAAAAATACCTTCTTCTTGGGACCAGCAGTTAGCGTAATGACTGTGTCGCTGAACTTCCATGTAGTCGACAGCAGTTCGAGTCCCGGACCTGGTGGCTTAAACTCACGCTGGGCATGTGTGCGTGCGTGCCCAAGATCTCGAGAGGAGAATGGAGGAGAAGGGATTGTGGTGGGGCCATCCCCCCAGGGGGGTGATTTCTTGCTTTCTGTCTCTGTCTTTCTGGTGAGCGCACACTCCCTATAGCAAAAACCTCTCAAAAAACAAAAACCTTTCTCCTAGGTCCAGCAGATAGCATAATGGTTATATCGCTGAACTCCCAGATAGTCAACTGTGGTTTGAGTCCTTGACCCAGCAGTCTAAATCTCATGCTGGACACATGTGCATGAGAGGAGACTAGAGGAGGAGGGATTGCAGTGTGACCATCTTCCGCTGGGGAGGAGGGTGATTTCTCACTTTCTGTCTGTCTCTCTCTCTCTGTCTCTATCCAGTGAGCATTCACGCCCTGTAACAAAAATCTCTTTTTGTAAAAGAGGTAATAGCCTCCCTCCTTACCTCCTCCTCTGCCCCTCCCCTTTCCTCCTCCTTTTTCTCCAATCCTATTCCGCCCCTGCTTCCCTTCACAAAAACCAAAAGGTAAAAATCAAGTTAGCAGTGCCTGAAATAAATGACTAACAAATGGCCTAAACAGTCACCGTAGCAAACTCAGGTTTGGCCAAAGCAAAGCAAACGGGAGATCAAAAGTATTTGCAGTGTGCCTCACATAAAAACAAGCTGCTTAGAAAGACCAAAACTTGCCTGATTCTAGAAAGAGCAATAAATAATGAGAAAGGATACTGCATTTTCAACATTATTGGAAAAGTAAGATGGCAATATTTACTTGATAATTCTTAAAACGTACTTGAAGGGACAAGCAGATGGTGTAATGGTTATGTCTCTCCCACGTAGTAGACTGTGGTTTGAGTTCCAGACCCAGTGGATTAAAACTCATGCCAGGCACGTGTGTGTGCATGCCCAAAATTCCGAGAGGAAAATGGAGGAGAAGCGATTGCAGTGTGGCTATCTCCCCAGGGAGTGATTTCTTCCTTTCTCTCTTTCTGTGTCTCTGTCTCTCCAGCGAGTGCACACACTCTGTAGCAAACATCTCTCTTAATAAAATAAATAAGAAAATAAAACATACTTCAGCACGAGGTATGAAAGTATATTTTTTCAGAAAAATTACATGGAAAATTGGTAGTTTGGGATCTATAAAAGAAAGATTTGAAGTATTAAGGAATTCACATCTTATTGTGATCTCATGGAATTCTGACTAGTGTATTTTGGCTATTTAGAAAGCTGACTATCTCATTGTTAAGAGTTTGCAGGTAAGGAGCTGACAGGTGGTGTGGTGGTTAAGTGTGCTAGACTCTCACATGGCCAACTGCAGTTCAAGTTCCAGACCAGGTGGCTTGCTTTCTCACTTTCTGTCTCTCTCTATTCCCCTCTCTTTCTTTTTTTTTTCCCCACTCTGTCCCTCTCTGGTCAAATTAAAATAAATGTATAAATAAATAAGTTAAATAAAATAATTATTTTTTAAAAAGTGTTTGTGGGTAAGGAAACCAATAGAATGTTTCAAAATTCTAAGTATGAGATGATTAGGTGTTCAACCAATACTACAATAGCTATGGACTTCTTTTTTTTTTTTTAATAGAGGTTTTTGCTATAGGGCACATGTACTCACCTGAAAGACTGACAGAGATAGAAAGCAAGAAATCACTCCCCAGGGGGGAATGACCACACCACAATCCCTTCTCCTCCATTCTCCTCTCGGGATCTTGGGCACAAACGCGCCGGGCGTGAGTTTAAGCCACTGGGTCCGGAACTCGAACCTCAGTCAACTACATGGGAGTTCAGCGACACAGCCATTATGCTAACTGCTGGTTCCACTATGGACTTCTTTATAAAGAAAATCTGTATATGACTTTGCAAAATTAGTCAGCAAAATGTAATAATAGACTATCTGTTGAAGGTAGTCAGAATAACTATTTGAAAACTTTTCCAACATCGCTTTTGATTTCTGGTGTTGATTCATCTTTCATTTGTGATTTTGTGTCCGTGTGCTTTTACTACTTCAAATATCAATTGTATGCAGGGGGTTAGACTAAGTACTTTCAGTGGGAAGTAAGACATGATCCTTGTCTTCAGTTTTCAAAGTCTTCAGCTTTCAAAGTCTTATCTTAGTAGGATCCTTTTTTTATTCCTTCCTGCCCATGCTATTCTCGAGTAGCCTCACTTAATACTTCCAGTTAGCTTCTGTTCTTAAATAGAGGTTTTCTCCTGTTCTGTCAATTCTTCCTCTTCAGTGTTGGTTGCTCAGGCAGTCCAGCTTGAAGGCAGGTTAGAAAATCATTTAGGACCGACCATCAGCAGACTCTCAGATGTTCCTGTTCTCATCACTCCCACCTCTGGGTTCTTCTCTTGTTCCTCCTGGGCACAGAGGAGCTGGCGTTAATTCCTCCCTGCCCACCTTTCCCTAGAGTTCGTGCGCGCTGGTGCCACCTACAAACGGCAGAATGAAGGAAAGCCACCAACAGGTGAGTTTTGAGCTAGATTCTGATTTGGGATTGTGAATTGGTGGGTGGCTTAAATTGATTGAAGTTATAGAAATGAGGAGAGCATGTAACTGCCCCATTACTCTTTGGTCAGAGACAGAGTTGAACAGACCCAGCTAATAGGTTGTGAAGGGATATGTGGGTTGGTTGTAGGACTAACCATTTCTGGTCAGGGTTAGTCACCCCTGTAGATCTTGTAGAATGGACAGGTCATTGGCATAGAGAGTCTGACTATGATAGGATGAAGAGATTTCTAGTTACCTTTTCTGTGCTCTTTCAGCTGCCATGTGCATCATCTTTTTCTATGTCCTTTGCTTCTTGCCATTCCTCCCATATATGAATACATATGGACATGTGATAAACCTCTTGCTCCTAGCCTTTGATATTCTTTTGCTTCTGCATGCTGAGATTGGGTGATATCTGCATAAATTATCCATTGAGCAGATAAAAATCAGGAAAGGCCCTCCAACTACACTTGGGAACCATACTTGGCTTAGCCGCGATGCTGAAGTCTTGTTTGTAAAGGAAATGCTAAATAAAAGATTAACGGCTGCTTGTAACAGGTTCTTTTTTTTTTTTTTTTATGTCTAGCTGTTATGTGCCAGAAATGAGCCTGCTATTATGGCTCTGGTTAGAGTAGTGTGCCGTGCTGATTGGTCCAGCACCTCATCTTCTTCCAAGGGATTTCCTACCTGAATAGGATGGGGAGGTCAGTGTGTCCCAAGAGTAGATGACTAAGATCCATCTTTTTACCTAATTTTGGAGTGCCTACTCTTCTCTTTAAAGATATGAGCTAAGTGGGCCATGGCTTTTCAAATAAGAATAAGCTATGAAACTTGTTCCTCTAGGAGGTTTTGGTGTAGTGGGACAGTGACTACCAAGTATAATGTGGAATTTGCTATATGCAGTGGAAATGCATGTAGGAATTACTAAATTACGTTCTCAGTCATTTGGGGATATAGTGATATCTGTCATTTTTTTATTTGACTTTTAAGGTCTATGAAAACTTTTAAACTTATGGTGTGAAAGCCTCTATGGTACCACAAGTACAAGGATTTGTGGGTATATCTTTTTAAAAACCTGTTGGATCTTCAACATTGGGGTAATCGGCCAGAGCAGGGGTTCTCAGCCTCAGCATGATTGACATTTGAAGCCAGATAAGTCTCTGTTATGAGGGAGCTGTCCCACATAACAGGATATTTAGCTTCATCATTGTGTTCAGTACTATATGTCCGTGGCAATTTCTCACTTGTGACAATCAAAAATATCTTTATACTTGCCAAATGTCTGGAGGTGGGAAGTGCAACACTGTCCCGATTGAGAACCCCTGGTTTAGAGAAAGCCTTTGGAGTCTTTAGGACACTGGAAGAGGTGTTATTCACCACCACCCCAGGTGGATGGAAGCCTTTGAGCCCTTGCTTAGCTGCTTCTGCTGTGGCAGGAAGAGCAGAAGAAGCTTTTTCACTGAAGCTGGCTTTGCCCGTTTCAAGGTTGTTTTGTCTCTGCTTTTGCTCTTGACCGCTTTCCTGACCTTAATCCACTGCCAGTCTTGACCAGCTTCTGTGTAACCACAAACTTGGTACTGCTTTCTCCTCTTCTCCACGTTATTACTTTCGTCATCAGTTTTCCTAGTAAAACCCCAGGATTGTATGTTTGACACATGTAGACAGTTTAATGAAATGGCTTATCTTTAACATCTTGCCGTTAATTATTTTTAAGATTATATTTGATTAAGCCCATTTTTTTGGTAAAATAATACTGTTTATACTTTCTGGCTTAAGTTTCTATAAAAAATGGTTTACATACAGCACTATGTGAGTGTCTAAAGTGACTGAAGATAAGGTTAGTGACTTTATCTCGTGCAGATTTATTTTTAACTATGTAACAAATACTTAGGTATTCATTCATGCCAGGCACTGGATCAGTGCTCAGAATTAGAATTTTCTAATTTTATTTTTTTAATTTTCTCAACATTTCAGGAATAATTGCTAAATTTTCACATATATATATATATATATATATGTGTGTGTGTATATGTATATTATATATATATAATATGCATATGTATGTATATATAAACATCTCCTTGAGCTAACCCTTACTTAGCTAATTCTCTCTAGTAATACTATGTATACCTACTCTGGTATTTTTATTGTGATACATTAAAAGTCAGTGTTTAAGAACATGGAAGAGAAAGCATTCATGATTTTTAAATGTGGCTTAAAATTTTCTTGAGGTCTTCTCTGTGGCTCCATGTTTGTGGCCTAGCATCAGTGTGGCCTGGACTGCCATATGTGACATTCTTTAGTTCTGGGCCATTTGAAGTTATTGGTGGTACCCAGCCTCTGAAAGTGATAGGTAATTTTAGATACTGATAATGTATTGGAACATTTGAGTAATAAAATAGATATATGGCCTACCTCATTATTTCGGTTACAAGTCACATAATTGAAAACAAATGAGCTAGAAAATTACATCTTATATTTTCTTATGTAGGTAAAGAGAGACCTGTCCAGTCTTTGAAAACATCAAGAGACACATCACCCTCAAGTTCTTCAGCAGTTTCTTCATCAAAGGTTTATTATCTTCTTTTTAAAAAAATACTTAATTTAGTTTTATTTGTTGTTATTATTTATTTTTTAATTTGACAAGAGGGAGAGAGAAAGGGAAAGCAACTTGCCAAGTCTGGGACTTGACCTGCAGAAGGCCATGTGGTAGTCTAGCACCTTAACCACCATGCCACCTGCTAGTCCCAGTTGTTATATTTCTAAAATCAGTTTAAGGAAGAATTACAAAATAAATGAGATGGATTGTCTAGTACAGATGCTTTTATTATGTACTGTAATACTTATGGGTCTAATTTGCTACATTTAAAAACTTGAATTTTAGAGACCAGCAGTTGACGTAACGACTTTGTCCCTGGACTCCTGTATAGTCAACTGCAGTTCGAGTCCTGGACTCGGTGGCTTAAACTCACGACGCTGGACATGTGTGCATATATGCCCAAGATCCTGAGAGGAGAATGGAGGAGAAGGGACTGCGGCGTGGCCATCCCCTCCGGGGGCTGATTTCTCACTTTTTGTCTCTCTGTCTTTCATGTGAGCTCATGCACCATATAGCAAAAACCTCTTGGGGGGGGGGGGACAACAACTTGAATTTTAAGTAACCACAACTTGAAAATAGCTACCAGAATTAAGTGAACAATTTTTCTCATAGAATTTTTTTCCCCACTGCTTTTTTTACTGAGTGGGAATGAACATTCAGGTGGGGCTTTGTGCTTTTATTTTGGGAGTTGGAGATAAAGGCAGAAACCTAACATCTGTTGCATAACTGCATTCTAGATACTATGTTTAGTATATTAATTTTAAAAATCCTATAATATAATTAGGTATGTTTCTCCATTCTGTAACAGAGAGAATGTACAAAAGTTCAATAATTTTCTCAAAGACACAGCTACTCTTTGCTATGCAATTTTTCTTACCTTTCTGTCATCTCAAAACATGCTGAAAAAGTGATCAGTGCTTCCAGTCTTCAAGAATTAACAATTTGACACATAGCCATACCCATCGTTCTCTTCATTTAGAGGTTCTCTTCACCCTTTCTCCTGGCTATAACTTTATTTTTTTCTTTAAAAAAATTTTTTTTGAGAGGCTTTTGCTGTAGGGTGCGTTAACTTGCTGAAAAGAAAGAGAAAGAGAGAAAGGGAGAAATCATCCCCCGGGGTGGTGGGAAGGGCCACACCACAATTCTCCTCCATTCTCTTGGGATTATGGGCATGCACGCACACATGCCCAGCGTGAGTTTTAAGCCACTGGGTCCAGGATTCGAACCACAGTCAACTATGTGGGAGTCCAGCGACATAACCACTATGCTATGTGCTGGTGACTTTAAAGAAGTAAGAAATGGGTATAAAACTAGGAGTGGCAGGACCTAGCTGATGAAAATGTATGCCAAGGACATAGAATGGAATCAGTTATCAGAAGGGCTTAAGGGAAGAATTTTTCTAATCTGCTCTTTACAATTTTATATTGTGTTCTGTAATGTAAGACATTAAATGGCATGTGATCCAGAAAAGACTTATTTTCTCCATTTTTATATTGACCCCATTGGTCTACTTCAAATATTAATATGTTTTAGTATAATAGATTTATATTAGCCAATATGGAAAAGATAAACTACCAAGTAGTATTATAGATACTTTCAGGTCTATTGTGACTTTTTTGTTTTTATTTATTTATTTATTTTTGCATTAAGTTTACTGCTCCCACGAGACAGAGAGAGAGAGAGGCACACCCCCAACAAGGTGTGCACACTATGACCCACCTTCAGTCTCAGCTGGCACAGATCCTAGGGGTGCACAAATATGCTGTTGTGCTCAGGGAGGTCCACAGACACAGACCTAGACCGAGACCCAGGACTGTCCTCATGTGGGGCTAGTTATAGTACCACAGTATCACCACCTGGCCGTTACTACCCAATTCTTCTCACTGCTGCTTTAACAGTAAATATTATCAATCCCTATTTTGTAAATGAGAAAGTCAAGGCTCACATTGGCATAAAAATTTATCTATCTGGCAAGTAACTAAACTGCAGTAAGAATCCAGGTCTTTCTGTTATTCTAAGACTCATACATACCTTGTTTAGTGTTGCATATGGTTACTACAAGGAAGTAGTAATAGGATAGAAAAATAAATTTCAGGTTAAAAATTTTGTGCAAGGAGTGGGCTTTTATATAATTTATCACAAATTATAAAAATAGTATATCTAGACAACTTCTTGCAATAATTAAGAATTTACCTTAATTAGATTTTGGCACTGTTTATTTTAATGAATATAAAGATACAAGTTGAAATCAGTATATCTTTTACATTCTGAACAAGATGAGTGTATGAGTTAATTGTTAGTATATTTTGCTTTGTTCCTGAGATGAATTACTAAAGTTTTATGTTTATAAATTATGAATTAAATCTAGTCTATATGTCCCAAAGGAATTGATACTCACAGAAATTCTATGTTGAATATTAGTTAAGGAACAAATAAAGAATGTACCTGTTGTCCAAATCAATTTGAAGGCTTATGTTACATTTAAAGTTTATTTTGTTCATAAGAGAGATAGGCGCCTACAACAATGTCTTCACTCCATGACCTATCCCCGGCTACAGGCTTATCTAACTGTCAGTGTAGGTGGAATGTGCTTCTTGATGTGTGGGACTTTTAATACCTTCAACATTTGTGACCGAGACATTCTTTTATCTCTATTAGGTGTTAGACAAACCCAGTAGGCTTACTGAAAAGGAGCTTGCTGAGGCTGCAAGCAAGTGGGCTGCCGAAAAACTAGAGAAGTCGGATGAAAGTAACTTGCCTGAAATTTCTGAGTATGAGGTAAGGTGAATTTCATATCTTTATGTTTTGCATCTGCAGGTTTTGTCTGGATTTTAAATTATGGGTGGAAAATATTTGTTCTAGTACTTCAAAATATATTTGGTAGTAGTATCCTTATAGATCATTTAATTGACATCACAGATTAATAGTCTGAATGTAATGACTTTATTCAGTAATCATACTATGTCTGAATGTCTCTTTTAGTTTGGGAGTGTACAAATAGTGTAAATATGGGGAGTAAGAAAAATGTAGGGGCCGGAAGGTGGTGTCGTGGTTTAAAGGCACAGGACTCCATGGTTCAAGTCCTGGACCTGACGACTTGCTTGATCACTTTCCCTTTCTTTCTCTCTCTCTCTCTCTCTCTTTTTTTTTCGGGGGGAGAGGTTTTTGCTATAGGGCACGTGTGCTTGCCAGACAGACAGAGAGGGACAGAGAGACAGAAAGCGAGAAATCACCCCCCAGAGGGGATGGCCATGCCGCAATCCCTCCTCTTCCATTCTCCTCTCAGGATCTTGGGCAGGCACACACACATGCCTGGTGTGAGTTTTAAGCCACCGGGTCCGGGACTCAAACCGCGGTTGACTACATGGGAGTCCAGCGACATAGCCATTACGCTAACTGCTGGTCCCCCACCATCTCTGGTCAAATTAAAAAATAATGATAACAAATGGAATTAAATAAATAAATAATTATTTTTTTGAAAAAGAAAAATGTATTATAATGCTTCTTTTAATGAGCTTTGCTATTAAAAATAGCTCAGGTAATTGTGCTAAGCCACTAGTCATGAAACAGTAAATTCAGAAAAAAACCTAATTCAGCCTTGGATTGTGGGCACATTTATATGGAACATTGTACTTTATACAGGTAGGTCATAAATATCATAAGAGATAAAATTGTGTGTCGTTTGGGCTACCTGAGACCTTTGATGTGTCTTAAATACCAGAAGATGAGAACATTTTGAGGCCTGTAGAAAACTGTTTATGAAATGTTTGTATTGCAATATTTGAGAATTAATTGAAGTTCTTCTATTGAAACTATAACATTTTCTTCATAAGGGCAATATCAAACGTTCATGGGCAAAATTAAACTTTCAGACTCAAGATTTGATAATAGAGGAATTATTTTGATATATAGTCAGAGAAACTAAAATCTCTGTACTATGACAAATTCTCTATATTTGAAGGAAAATTCTTTTGGATATACTTCCGGGTGATTTTTATGAAAGTTCCTTTGATAAAAGAGATCAAGCATTCGAATTCTATATAAGAATACCATGTTTACCTACGTCATTATACACCATGAAGATTCTTTCTGAATTAAATAATGTACACCACTCATAAAAAAGTACAAATCCTGGTAGAATTTATGCAAATGAAGTCTTTCTTTTTTAAAATGCTAATCTGTGAATTACATATTATTTGTTTTAAAATAGGTCATGATTTCCTTATTATAGTTATAATAATAGATATTTATGCATATTCTTGAGTAGCAAATGTATCAACGTCTGAAAGTCCTTCTTTGTCACTTTACCAATGCTATTTAAAAGCGTGAACAATACAGAAATACTTCTTTTTTCCCTCAGATTTTTGCCATAAAGCACATCTTTCTAGAGAGAGAACAGAGAGTGAGAGGGAAAGTAAGAAATCACCCCCAGGGAGATAGCCACAATGCAATCCCTCCTCCTTTATTTTGCTCCTGAGAGTTTGGGCACGCAGACATATACACCCAGTGTGATTCTTAAACCATCAGGTCTGGGACTCGAACCATGATTGGCTGTGTAGGAGTTTAGCCCTTTAACCACAGTGCCATCTCTTGGCCCCATAGTAATACATTTAATAGGACCATTTGGCTAGTTTCTTTAAAAATTTAGAAAAATGGTTTTTGATAATATATATGGGGCCAGCAGATGACATAGTGGTTAAGTACTGGACTCCCTGGGACCAGCAGTTAGTATACTGGCTGTGTTGCTGGACTCCCATGTAGTCGACCATGGTTCAAGTCCTGGACCCTGTGGCTTAAAACTCACAAAAAATGTGTGTGTGTGTGTGTGTGTGTGTCCAAGATCCTGAGAGGAGAATGGAGGAGAAGGGATTGCGGCGTGGCCATCCCCCCTGGGGGGTGATTTCTCTCTGTCTGTCTTGCTGCCTCTTTCTGTCTGTCTGGCGAGTGCACGTGCCCTATAGCAAAAACCTCTCCAAAACAAACAAAAAAAAGTACTGGACTCCCACATGGCCAACTGCAATTTGAATCCTAGATCTGGTAGTTTACTTTCTCTTTCTCATTCTGTCTGTCTCTCTCTGGTCAAATTCAAAATAGTAATAATAAATAAAAATTAAATAATCTTTTGTTTTTTAAATAATATATACATATACTTCAAAGAAGCTATTATGTAGTATTGATAATTTTCCTTGGCGTCTTTAATACCAAATTCTCCAAAAAGACCAACATTTTGTTTGCCTACTTCTTTATCTTCAATCATCAAGGCTTTATTAACAAATATGTATAGTTAGGCTTTTAGTATGCATGAATGTGTGAATGATAATAGTATATCCATCATCCTCTTCTCCCATTTAAAAAAAAAATTTTTTTTTTTAGAGGTTTTTGCCATAGGGCACATGTGCTCGCTGGAAAATGAAAGAGACAGAGATAATGAGAGGGAAAGTGAGAAATCACTCTGTAGGAGGGGATGGCTATTCTGCAATCCCTTCTCTTCCATTCTCTTCCTAGGATCTTTGGCACACACGCACACATACCTGATGTGACTTTCCAAGCCATCAGATCTGGGACTCGAACCGTGGTTGGCCATGTGGGAGTCCATGTTGTAACCACTGTGTCATATGCTGGCCCCCTCACTGTTATTTTTTTTTTTTAAATGTATCTTAATTGCTTATAGAAATCTCACTAGGTACCTTTCTCATAAATAAATATTTACATAAGTAAATATTTTACTTATGTTCTCTCTTTGAATGGATCTTGACACTGAATAGTCAGTACCATTAACTCTAGACTTTTTCTTGACCTATGTGTTTTTTGTCAGTCATTAACTCTAGAAAGACTTTTTCTTGACCTATGTGTTTTTTGTCAAAAATCTGCCCCAGGTTTGCTAGATTTTGAATAAATAAAAAACAGGTAACCTTAAAAATCTGTAAGAGGGATCATAGGTCAAACAAGATCTTTTATTGAATCAAAGGCAAGGTGTGTGAGAGTAGCCCTGCACTTAGCATAGTATATTTGTTACTTGGTGTAGTACGTCATTACTGTTGAACAGCAGCATCAGTTTTATACCTCTGTATAGAATATTTTTCAAGTCAGATTGTTACTGTGTCATACTAAAAATAAAGCCATTAGAAAAACTTTATGATATGCTTTATAAATTTAGTCTCACCATAATATTTTCTTCAGATAGTAACATTTGTTCCCAGGCTATTAGATAGTAATTTATTTTAGTGATCCATGCTTTTAGAAAAAAGAATGTTGGCTTAGGTCATATATAATCTCATACCTGATTTGATAAAAAAATAACCTAGAAAGAAAAAAGGCCTTTCTTTGATGCTATGAGTTTATGTGTGGGAACCCACACATGCCATAGTGATTATCTCATTGGACTCTCACATGGCCAACCTTGGTTCAAGTCCTGGACCTGGTGGCTTGAAAATCACACCAGGCACATGTTTTATCACTGTGCCACCTTCTTAGTATATATCTAATTAAACTATTAGTTAACTCTTTTAGTGACAATTGAGGGCTTTTTTCCCCTTTTTAAAAATTTTATTAATTTCTACCACTAGTGAGTGAGTAAGGGAAGAAAGAGACAGATGGACAGCATCTCTAATAGGATCTTGATATCACTTTTCACTCTCTAATGCCACCATCCACCCCCAGCCTTCATCAGCCTTGGATCACAGTATCGTGTGCCCAGCACACTCACAGAGCTCTGTGAAACTAAATTTGGACCTTTTCTATGTGGTCCAGCCTTGCAGAGCAAGGATCACATTTTACAGCTGTACCACTGTTTGGTCCTTCACCAATTTACATTTTTGTGTGTAAGTTTATGTCTTAGTTTTGTGCTACTATACCAGCATACCTGAGGTTGGGTACTTTACAAAGAATAGAAGTATTTTTCTTCGAGTTCTATAGCCTGGGAAGTCCAAGAGCAATGTGATGGCAGGTGTAGTACGTGGGCTTGGTTTCTGCTTGCAAGATAGTGCCTTTAACCCTTCATCCTCCACAGGGAAGGAACACTGTTCCTCCGTGACAGTGGGAGAGCAAAGAGAGCATACTCTTAGAATCCTTTTTTATTGTTTTTGCCCTAGGGTGCGTGTGCTCACTGGAGAGAGAGAGAGACAGAGAGACAGTGAGAGGAAAAGTGAGAAATCACCCCTCACAAAGGACATGACCAGTCCATAATCCCATCTTCTCCATTCTCCTTTCAAAATTTTGGGCATGGAAGCACATGCCTCCTGCTTGACTTTCAAGCCACCAGGTCTTAGATTTTAAGCATAGTTGTTTGGCCATGTGGGAGTACAGCTCCTTAGACACTGAGCCACCTAGAAAACTTTATATATATATTTTTAAGAATTTTATTTTATTTATTATTTTTTAATTTAACTAGAGAAAGTTGGGAGTGGTGGGGGGAATGAGAAAGCAAGCCAGGGCTTGCACTGTGGTTGGCCATGTGGGAGTCCATCCCTTTAACCACCACATCACCTGCCAGTTCGACCTAGAAACCCTTTTACAAAACCATTGGGAGGGGAGACCAGCAGTTAGCGTAATGGCTATGTCACTGAACTCCCATGTAGTCAACCACGGTTCAAGTCCTTCAACTCACGCCGGGCGTGTGTGCGTGCATGCCCAAGATCCCGAGAGGAGGATGGAGGAGAAGCGATTGCGGCGTGGCCATCCCCCCTGGGGGATGATTTCTCGTTTTCTGTCTCTCTGTCTCTCTCTGTCTCTTGGGTGAGCGCACCTGCCCTATAGCAAAACAAAACAAAACAAAACATTGGGGGACCAGCCGTTGACATAATGGCTACGTTGTTGGACTCCCATGTAGTCGACTGCGGTTTGAGTCCTGGATCCGACAGCTTAAACTCACACCGGGCACTTGTACATACATGCCCAAGATCCCAAGAGGAGAATGGAAGAGAAGGGATTGTGGCATGGCCATCCCCCTTGGGTGATTTCTCACTTTCTGTCTCTCTGTCTGTCTGTTGTCTTTCTGGTGAGCACATGCACCCTATAGCAAAAACCTCCTCCCCCTCCCCCGGAAGAAAAAAAAAAAAACCAAAACATTAAACCTAGTGTGAAGTGAAATCCCTCATGGTTTAATCGCCTCTTAATGATCCCACCTCCCAATATCATTACATTGTTAATTAAATTTCTACATTATTTTTGTAGGGGACAAACATTGAAATCATAGTAGCCTAGAATTATAATGAAACCTGAAATTCCTGTATGAATGAATGTGAATTTCTACAATTTCCTTTTTTTTATTACGTTGTCCTGACTAAAACAGAATTTAACGGCATAGTTATTTTGACCTTGTGGTAACCAGAATACTGGCAGTATCAATAACCCAACTTTCTTGGCCTCCGTTCTAAATTACTTATCTACTGCCGGGAAAACTATACCCTTGTTACTATGCACCCCGTGTTCTATATTCAAGCTTCATATATATTGTGTCATTAGCTTTCCTTTTATTTCACAAGATTTCTTTCCAGTCGGCAGAGATAAGAGGAGATAGCTAGTTTGAGAGCTTGCCATGAGTTAGACTAATGCAGATGTCATAACCAGAGTTAGAAACCTGATTCTGATGTTAAAATTTATTTCTTAAATGATTTTTATGTTTTTATTTCTATTCCTTTAAATATATTACTCAAATATGGAAAGAAAGCTATGGGGTTTATTTAGTAGGCAATACATGTACGTACACAAATTCAGAAGGTGTCAGAGTGCCTTTCGTCTTACCCTTGACTTCCAAGTTGTCCCTACTGAGGTAACTTCTTCTATCCTTTTTTCCTTAGATACGATCTTCTCAGATATAGTTTGCATATATATGTGTGTAAATATAGGTACTCTTTTCTTAATCCCCCCTTCTTTTTTGATACAATTGATAGTATATTGATAGGGAATTACCTCTTGACAATGGGATTATTTATTTAATATTGAATTGTTGACTTAAGATAGAAGTAATCATTGTTTTATGTGTTTTCTTCTTAATTCATTTTAATGAATCCTTAGGCTACAGGAGAAAGATGTTCTAACTTCTGAAAGTAGAACCTACTCCCATGTTTCCCCTTAATATGTTCCTATATGCCTCATATACCTCTCACTTATTTTACCTCGGCGTTCCCTAAATAGATTGCACGGGGACTAGTCACAGGACAGAACTTTCCAATGGTATCTTTTATTACTGTGAAATATAATTTCGGAATAGAATAACCCTAGAGGCTTTCTTCTACCTAAAATTAAAAAGAGCAATCATTTTCTTTTAATCCTCTTCATGTATGAACATTATGCATACTGAAATTGAAAAGAGCTTTCTATCTATAAAACAGGTGCAACCTAATGTTTTCTCTTTGTAAAATCTGCCGCTTAGTGCCTATACAAAGACATATAAAATACTCTATGTCTTTTAGGAAAGTAACGAGAGTTTTCTAATTCTTTTTAAGGCGGGAACCCCGGCACCATTGTTCATTGATCAGCCAGAAGAACCTGAGTCAAATGCAACAGATGGCATAGAATTATTTGAAGATGGTCAACTAAACAGTCGCTCTAAAGCTATAGCATCAAAAACCAAAGAGATAGAACAGGTGAGGATACAGACTTCTTAAAGTTTTTATCACTGTGCACATTGTAAGTATTTATTGAATGAATATGTTTGATTTGGCCTTTTCCACTGTGACTCTGAAATGATCATTAAAAAAAATTGTGGAAATGTGAGCCGGCAGGTGGTACAAAGGTTAAGGTGACTAGATCCCACGTGGCTAGCTATGTTCTTTGAGTTCTGGACCTGGTAGCTTGAAAATCAGCGAGAACATGTGGTTGCATACCCAAAATCCTGAGAAGAGAATGGAGAAGGGATTGCAGCATGGCATCGTCCTCAGCCCCCATCCCTTTCCAGTAAGTGCACACATCCTATAGCAAAAACTTAAAAAAAAAAAAGTCAAAATTGAATTGATATCACAGTCATTTTATTGAACAGTGTAGTTCCCCATCTGTTTTTCGTTGTTGTTTTTTTTAAATAAAAAGCTTTTTCCATGAGCTTTTTGAAGTACCCTTGTATTTCCACCTATAAGTATGTTCTCTATTGGAAGAAGGATTGATCATCTTTTTTGTAATGATTTATTATTAAAATATAAATAGGAATTATTTTAGATACAGAGAAAATGCCATTCTGATACTCTTTAAAGTAATTATTTAATTTTATTAATTATTATTATTTTTTAAAATTTGTCCAGAGAGGGGAAAATGAGAAAGCAAGCCGCCAGGTCCCGGACTTGAACTGCCATCATCCATGTGGGAGTCCAGCGCCTTAACCACTGCCCTACCTGCCAGAACTAGAAAATATCTAGGACACTCGATGAAAGGGATTGAGTATCTTGGTATTTTTATTCGTTTTGTCTTCAAAAGACTTAACTAAATATATATTTGTTGTACTGAAACCATTATTTTGTTAAAGTCATACTTGGAAGATCAAATAAATGTTTTTTAGCCATTTAGGAGCCCTTATCCTTACTCTAGTTAGCTTAGAAAAATCAACATAATTCAGAAGTCATTTGTCTAGTCATTAGCTGATAGATTAATAAGATTTTGCAATAGGACTGGATTAATCTAGTTGTTTTTGTTTGTTTGTTTTTTTAAAATGGTAGAGGTGCATGTGCAAAAGAAAGAAAGAGGAAGCCTTTTTCTCTCCCACCAGAGGGACTGCCTAGTGTTGCCAGTACCAGAAGTCAAACCCTGGTTGGCCTATTGGTATCTGACTTTCCTAACACAGTGCTTAACTGCCTTGCTGCAGATCCAGCCCAACCTAATGTATTCATTTATATTTTATTTTGAATTCTACACCATGACCCTTTTTTCGCAGCCATGTGGACTACTTATTAGCTTTTCTTCCAAAAAGTGCGAACTAAATAAACTTTGGTCCTTTCCTGCCTAAATGATGCTAAAAATTAAACACTAAAGCTTGCTTCTCAGTTAGATGAGTTTTGTGTAGCTAATCTGACATTTAACTGAATTTTTTTTTCTCTCTCATATGTTAAAACAAAATGCTTTTTATAAAAAAGAACCTCAAATATACCACTGTTATGCCAGTCAGTCAGTAAGTAGTATTGGATGAGTTACTGAATTCTGCAGGACATATTTTCTTCTGTGAATAAGATACTACATTTAATCAGCGTGAGAGCTGTGGCTCTTCTCTTCGTGCAGTGTCTGGTTTCAGCTGTTATCCAGCCTGATGATTCCTAATGTTCTCACCAGCTTTTATTGTGGGCATTTTTTCCCCTATAGTATTTTTAAAGTAAAGAGACTAGAAATAGATTAACCAAATGTACAGTCTTGTTCAGAAGGCTAACTAAAGTTGTAGACCTGGAAAAGAATCAGCTTTTAGCATACTATGGATTAAAGTGGAATTGTTTTTAAAGTAGTAGTGGCTGTATCTATTGTTGTGCAGGCATGAATTTAAAGATTTCATACTAACTTGACATAATAGAAACATTCTTTGTTTTTCCTTTTTATCAGAGCAAGTAACGAATGTTCTTAAAAGTGCAGTTCTCACCATTATCTTGTCTAGACATCAAGTCTACTCTACTGTATTTAACCATCCATTATTACCAACCACTTGTTCAGAATTTACGCATATAAATTTAGTAAAAAAAACTTTGTTCTCAGAACAAATTAAAAGTAAATAATTTGTTTTAGCCAGATTTCAAGTTTTTGAAAGCTAAACTGTACCAGTCAGATTCTGTCATGCTGTTAGTACAGAAACTTGTAGTACAGGAGTGAAATTTATATCTTACGGAATTTCACCTGAAAGCTTCCTCTGTAAGGTAGTTATGTCGTGCTTGAAATGTTGAAATCCAGCAGCTCAGCCTTTACATTTAAAGGTAAGTTAGTTACTTTATACCTGATAGAAATCTGCAATTAGGAAGCTTGATAATTAGGAAGTTTTATAATGATTAAGGAAGCATTTTGCAATAAAAATACAAAATATAGACAGTTTATATAGTTTATATACAAAGCCTTGTAAAAATCATACTTAAAATGGTACAAGTACCACAGGGGAAGAGGCCATCCTGGACCACATGTGTAGGGGGCGTTATCACTGAAACAGAACGTGCCCAGTTACCAAGCAGTTCCAGTCAAGGTGTTTCCCGTGCTTTAAGCCCAAGCATAAACTTAATTTTCTCATCTTTCTTATCCATTGTCTGCCAGTGTCAGGTGAGGATTTCCTCTAGTGGTTCCAAATGTCTGTCCCTCCCTATTCAATTCCACTTTTGTAGGTCAACAATTTTGGGTTGTCTCTGAGTACTTAACGTCAAGAACATTTATAAATAGTACACAGGTTAGTGAACACTGGATCCTTTCACTTAGTGTTTTAAGTTTTCAGAGCTTTTTTTCCTCATATGTTGAGTGGGATTAATTACAAGTTCTCTCATGGCATTGACAACCTAATGTATGTAAAAGCCTTTTCTGAATTGAAAAATCACCATGCAAGTAGTTTTAGTAGTGTTAAATAATACTTTTTTTTTTTTTTTTTAAAGAGGTTTTTCCTGATGGTACATAGACTCATGAAGGATGGGAAGAGACAGAGAAAGAAAGTAGAAAGTAGGAAATTACCCTGCAGGGGGGATGGCCATGCCACAATCCCTTCTTCTGGGATCTTTTTTTTTTTTTGGAGAGGTTTTGCTATAGGGCGCATGCTCTCGCCAGAAAGGCAGAGAGAGACAGAAAGTGAGAAATCACCCCCCAGGGAGGATGGCCACGCTTCCCCTCCATTCTCCTCTTGGGTGCACACGTACCCGGCATGAGTTTTAGCCACCAGGTCCGGGACTTGAACCACGGTCAGCTACATGGGAGTCCAGCGACATAACCATTACACTAACTGCTGGTCCCTGCTCCTGGGATCTTGGACATGCATGCATTTACACGTGCCCAGCATGATAATCAAGTCACTGTGTACTGGACTTGAACTGTTGTCATCCTTGTTGGAGTCCAGCGATGTAACCACTACGCCATCTGTTGGCCCAATACTTTTTTTACCTTTGGAATATTAACTACGTATGAAGTACATCCTAGGAATATTTTGTATCAAATTTACTATAAAGATTTAGCTCTCAGGGGTGGTTTTCTCAGCAATTTTAGAGTTTGGGCTATTTACTTCTTACCTCTTTACTTCTGGCTTTGTTCTCCCCCCCCCCCCCCCTTTCCCTTTTTGTTCTAAGTGAAACAAGTTTACTATGGGCCCAACCTAGTTTAATAATCACCTAAATGGGGACCAGCAGATGGAGTAATGGTTACGTCACTGGACTCCCATGTAGCTGACTGTGGTTTAAAACTCACACGAGGCGCATGTGCGAGTGTGCCTAAAATTCCAAGAGGAAAATGTAGGAGGAGAAGCAATTACAGCATGGCCATCCTCCCAAGGGGGTGATTTCTCACTTTCTGTCTGTCTTTCCTGTAAATGTATTGCTCAATAGCAAAAATCTCTCTCTCAAAATAAATAAATAAATATATAAAGTCACCCAAATGACCTCTAGCATTGTGCACCAGCTCTCCTATTACTTGTACCACCGTGGCTAGATCACTCAGGTTTGTTTTGTTTTTTGTTTTTTGGGTTTTTTTTTTTAAAGTTTTTTGCCATAGGATGTGTGCACCAGAGAGAGAGGGAAAGTGAGAAATCACCTCCCAAGTGAGATGGCCATGCTACAGTTCCTTCTCCATTTTTTTTCTCGGGATCTTGGGCACACATGCACACGTGACTGGTGTGATTTTCAAGCCAGCAGGTCCAGGACTCAAACTGGTGTTTGCCATGGGTCTATTGCCTTAACGACCACTCCACCTGCTGGCCCCAACCACACAGGTTTTTGTTTGTTTGTATGTTTGTTTTTTTTAAATAAACTTCTAATTAAAAACCACTACAATCCAAAAAACATATTCTTCAGAATTTTAGTGTTTAAATTTGTTGTAACTTACATTGTGGCTTTATACATGGTCAGTTTACCTAAGTGACAAATATACTTGAAAAGAAGACATATTCTGAATTTGTTGAGTGCATTGTTTTGAAAGTTACTGTTGTATCGAATCATTGTTATACAAGTTTATTTCAGTTTATTTTAAAGAGAGATTTTTCTGCTATAGGGCATGTGCATATGCTGGAGAGATAGACAGAAAGCGAGAAATCACCCCCGGGGGATGGTCACACTGCAATCCCTTCTCCTCCAGTCTCCTTTGGGGATTTTGGGCATGCACGCATACATGCCTAGCATGTACACAGATGCAGGCTCCTTGGCTCTCCCCCTGCTGAGATGCAGCCAGATAACCCTCACCATGATGTAGCTCTTGGCTCCTAAACCTCTAAACCATTAACAAAAAAAAGCTCTAGTCTCTTAAGTTACCCAGACTGTGGTATTTTCTGTTATTGGCAATGGAATGGACTAGAAGATCCACTTAAGTCTGGGAAGTGTGAAAATGACATTTGATTGGATCCTTAAAATTCAGGAAGGATTGTCAAAGGAAGAGATTGGAAGTAAAAGTTTCTAAGTAATGGTGAATAACACAAGCATAAGTAGGAAAATAGAGAATTGTTGGAAAT